ACCTGGGTTCGAGTCCCAGGACCCACATGGCAGCTAACAACTGTCCGTAACTCCAGTTCCAGGGGATCCGACAGCCTCGTCTGTCCTCCTCGGGCATTGCACGACATGGGTGTACTTACCTACATGCAGGCATAACACTCATACACATAAAAATAATAAATAAAATATTTTAAAAAAGAATAGGCTTGTGCATATATACACATGTTAAGCAGATACTGTGTTATTTTTTGAATGTGTAATTGAGATAAGTGTTAAGTGGTTAAGTGTTGTGAACCTATATGATCATATTGGGTTATGAGATATTAAAGGACTAAGCACTCCTCGAAGACTTTATCACCTACTCTAAGATATATAATGCATCGGTCATTGTATGATGGGATAGTCATATCATGTTAGGTGAAATTATGACCTCAACATTGTTTTCATTTGAAAATTAAACATGGCATAGAGAGATGCTACTGGGTGTCAAGTTGACAAGGGGTGGACTTGTGATGGCAAATCCTGGGTGTCAACTTGACTGGATGTGAATTAAATGAAATGAGAGAGATCTTCTTGACTGGATCATCTGAAGCTGGAAGACACACCCTAGATGTGGGTGTTACCTTCTGACGGCAGCCCATATAAAAGGCCATTTCAGAAGGGAGCACTTGCTTTTTGCCACTTGCCTTCTCTCTCGCTGGTGATTTCATCTTGCTGCTGTAGACTGAAGACTAGCCGATCTTTCAGAATTTATCAGACCCTCAGCACCAGATTGGGACTACTGAGACATCCAGCCTCATGGACTGAGCGACTATGGGATTCTCAGCCTCTCCTGTGTGGTGCAGCCATTGTTGGACTACTCAGATTCTATCCTGTGAGCTAATCTGATAAGTTCATATATATATATTCATTCTATAGGTACTGTTTCTTTAGAGAACCCTGACTAATATACCATGTTAGTCTAATTTTCCATTGTTTTAACAAAATGCCCGAAGCTGGATGCTTTATAGAGAAGAGGTTTATTTATCTCACTGGTTTGCTCTGAGTAGCCCAGGCTGGCCTTGAATTCACCATCCTCCTATCTTAGCCTCCTGAGTGCTAGAAGCCAAGGAGCAGGTAAGGGCTATACTTGCTCTTTATATTCTCTCTCTTTTTTTTTTTTTTTACTTTTTTGTTTGAGACAAGGCTTCAAAATGTAATCCTGGCTGACCTGGAACCTGCTATGTAGACCGGGCTGACCTTGAACTCAGAGATCTCCTGTGCCTCAGCTGGGATTAAAGGCTGGCCTCAAACTCTCTGCCTAGAGTGCTGGGATTAAAGGCAGGTGCCACCATCACTTCTTATGTAGCCAGTATGAGGGCCACACTTTCAACACTCTTGAGGGACATACACAAACAGTATCTAAACTGTTAGCACTCATCTTTCTTTCCTTCACAGTACTTATCAGAACCTGAAGTCATACTTATTTTGTTTACATGTTTATGTCTTTCATATTACATAATCAGTTTCACTAGGATAGAGACATTGCCTAGTGCCCAAAGTAGTGTGATCACATCACTTACCTTCTTAGATCCCTTTCACAGCCCTATTTTGCCTAGAGAAGAACGAATACCCTTCATAACAAGGACCCTGGCCTAGGAGCTCAGACAGGATGCAGCATGTAAGGCAGGTTTTAGAATGAGTGTTCACCATATGGAGAACAGAAAGAAGGATATTACAGCTTAGAAGCTCAAAGAACACAACATAGACCAGCAAGATGGTTTAGTGGGTAAATCCTGAGGACCTGAGTTTGAGCTCCATAACCCACAAAAAGATGTAAAAGGAAATCTGACTTAACAAGGTTGTTCTCTGACCTCCACACATGCTCCTCGCCCCAAATAACAGTTAAAAAAAATAAAACACAACACTGCAAGAAAGCCATCTCTGAAGTCAAGGGCTTGGTAGGCTGAAATAGAAAAATCAGCTGACAGCTAGTGATGCAGGCAGGCCTGGCATTCCAGCTACTCAAATAGTAAAAAGAGGGCCAAGGTAGAATGCTTGCTTAGTGTATGTGAAGCCCTGGGTTCAATTTCCAGTGCTGCAAATAAATAAATAAATAAAAATTTAAAAACCAGCTGGAAGCAGATTGTGGAGAAACTCACAATTCATTAAAGAGCAAGGAGTTGGTAGGTAAACAATGGGACAGTCTTAGAAAATCTATATACAAGGAAATGGCACAATGATCATTTTAGAAAAATAAAGAACACTGAGGCACTGGTGAGATGGCTTAATGGGTAAAAGTTCTTGGTGTACAAGGCTTACAACCTGAGTTTGGATCCCTAGAACCTATGTAAAAGGTAGATAGGGTGGCATGTGTCTGTAATCCCAGCACTCTTCTAGTGAGATGGATGGGAGGTGAAGATAAGAGAGCCTTCCAGAAGCTATCAGGCCAAGTAGCCTGGCGTATACAGCATGAGGGCAAACAAGAAGAGACCCTGCCTCAAAAACAAGACTGACACTCAAGGTTGTCCTCTGACCTCCATATGCATGCTGTGGCACATGTGCAATCCTCACAAACACCCATGCATCATACACAGAAATGAAAAACGGAAAAGTCAGTGATGAGACTGGACAGGAAGAGATTAACAATTCAGTCTGAAGGCTAATGCAATTGGCTAAGATTAAAAAAAAAAAAAAAAGACCAGCAGCTGGAGAGATGGCTCAGAATAACCACTGCTCTTACAGAGGACCCTTGGTTCCCAGCATGCACATGGTGGCTCACAACCACCTATAACTCCAGCTCCAGGGAATCTGACACCTTCTTCTGGCTTTTGCAGGCACATGCACATAGACATAATTAAAAATAAAAATAAATCTTTAAAAAAACAAGCTGGGCATGGGGTGGCATATGCCTTTAATCTTAGCACTCAGGAGGTGGAGGCAAGCAGATCTCTCTGAGATTGAGGTCTGTCTGGTCTACCAGCTGTGGCTAAAGAGATCCCCTGTCTCAAAAGGACCAAAAAAATAAAAGCATACTAAGTTATTAAGACTTGGCTGTTGGAGAGATGGCCCAGTGGTTAAGGACACTGACTGCTCTTGCAGAGGACCCAGGTTCAATTCCCAGCACAACACAGTGTCTAACAGCCATCTATAACTCCAGTTCCAGGGGATGTCCTCTTCTGACCTTCAGGGACACTGCATGACACGGGTGCACTTACATACATGCAACCAATACACTCTTACACATAAACTATATTAAAAAAAAGGTATTAAAACTTTAAGTGCCAGAACTATGGCAGTTAAAACAGATAGGAGCAGAGAAATTCAAGAGAACTTTACCAAATATTCATTTATTTATATAAATTCAATACGACTAAGTAGGAAAGTTTCCTCCAACGTGGCCTATAAACTTAAAGCTGTCAAAGAACAAAATTGCTCTGGGTCTTATTCTTCAATTATACCTGTTATACAGCTCTTACTACATCGAAGTCCAACCACATAATAGGTCTGTCTCCTCTGAGAGGTTAAGAGCAGGTCCCCAAAGGCAGGTTGTGTTATATTCACTTTAATATCTGAGGCAGTGGCTACACACAACTTTTGTGAATGAATGAATGAACCAGTGGAAGAAAGCTTTGTGACTGAAGTAGGACTTGAAAACTGTCCTGTAGGTCTAACAAGGTGATTCCAGGCAAATAAGTGCTAATGGTACTAGCAAGGAGGAACAATAAACTAGGGGCACAGAAGGACTGTCCTAATAAGAGGTTGGTGCCCCTGGTTCAGACTTGTACAGGTAATGCATAGCCTTGCCTCATCTGTCGCCTTCTACACCATATGGACCATTCCTTCAACTTTATTCTGTGCTCTGCTCAAATATCACCTCACCAGGTGGCAGAGAGGTGGCTCAGCTGGTAAAGATGCTGCCTGAGGATGCAAGCCTGACAGCTTGTGTTTGATCCCTGGAACCCAAAATGGAGAAAACCGACTACATGAAGTTGTCCTCTGACCGCCACATGCCACGGCACACATGTGTACACACAAATAACAAAAAACAGATTAAAAACCAACCACCTCACAAGAGGCCTTCTCTGACCAACCAATTCTACAGCACATGTTAGTGTCAGTAAACTCATTTTCTTAATCTTTTTTGTTTTCTAAGAGATGACTGAAGAGATTCGCTAAAAGCTTCTTTCATCTATGCCTGAATTAGGATAGGCTCACTATAACTTGAAGTTTGTCAGTTGTTGTAACCAGGACCCATTAAATCTAAACTCATTGAGATTATTTTTCTTTTAATTAAATTTCACTGTGGAAAGTGTGCACTTCTAAGTATTGTCATTCAAATTTCTTTTACTAAAACCTGAATACTAGAGGATATACTTTTTTTTTTTTTTGAAACAGGGTCTCATTATGTATCCCTGGCTGGCCTTGAACTCACAAAATCCAATTGCCTCTACCTCTGCTTCCTAAGTGCTGGGATTAAACCCATGCACCACCACCACAACTGGCAAAAGAATGTAACTTTCTTGAAAGAAACATAGCGGACATTCCAAGAAGTTGGTCACAAAGGTTATATTCCTTAATGGAAACAATTCTGGGACCACGGCAGATCATCCCCACAGAAAATCACGGAAATTAAGAAATTAATGGTGGGGCTGGAGAGATGGCTCAGCAGTTAAAAGCACTTACTGAACTTACCTAGGACCTGAGTTCCATTCCTGTCACTCAACGGATGGCTCACAACCACCTGTAACTCAAACTCCAGGGGATTCCACGCCCTCTTCTGGCGCCCACGCGCACGTGCACGTGCAGTCATGTGAGTATACCCACACATAGTCACACATAATAAAAGTAAAGTTAACCTTGGGGAGCTCGAGAACAGCATATCTGATTGGAGCCAAAGGACTCAGGCTAGCTGCAGCTTGAAGGAGGCGTGAGGGAGGAAGGTGCACGCCCAAGTCAGGGCGCCTTGAAGTCTCCCCATCGGCCCCGCCGCCCCTACGCGCGGTGAGTCGTCCCCCGCACCCGCTGCCCCGGCGCCTCACCAGCAGGCTTGTCTGCAGCCATCTTCCCGCCTCGGCTCGAGTTCTTCTCCGCAGGTGGCGTGGCCCCCGACTCCCGATGCCCGGCTGGCCGCGGGTACTGCACGCGGGCAACTCCGAGCCCACTCAGGCTCCCGTCCCCCTACTCCCGGCCTGGGCGGACCGCAACCCTAGGAAGTGACGAGGCTACAGTTCGTCGTCTAGCAACAGCGCCAGCTTATCCACACAAGCAACGCTGTTTTCCCCGCCATCCACAGCTTCCGCCCCGCGTTGGCCAGGGCGCACACTACTTCCGGGGCGGAGTCAGCCGCGTGCGCAGCAGGTCGTGGGAACTGCGGCTGACCCCGCCCGGCGCCAACGTCCCTCATCAGGCCAGTCCCCGGAAGCGACTGCATACCCAAGGCCGGAAGTGCACTAGGTAGGAGGGTGTTGCGCGCTCTCTTTGCAGGTCCTGAGTAAAACACCGAAAGGTCGGAACTTTGTTCCGCATTTTACGAAATGACTATTAGAACTGACGTTTATGTGCCCGGCGCTGAGGCTCCCTTGGTTTGTACTATCTCACCGAATTCCCACAACCCTGTGAGGCGTTGCAGTTTCTCCCACGAGTAAAAGACATTTTTAGATTTTAGAGTCACTTTGGATTTATAGCAAAGTTGCAAAAATCATTCATAGAGTTCTTGTATATTCATTAGCTTCTCTTATTGTGATCGCCTTAATGGTTAAATTACTGGGGTCCATCGGTCACATCTAAGACACTAGTTTTGTGCGTCACTATTATTAAACACTATTTGAATTTTACCAGTTTTCGTCAATGTCTTTTTCCTGTTCCAGGATCCCAACACCATTATGTTGTGTCGTCTTTACAATTTTTAAAAGTATTGGTGAAAAAAAAAAAAAGTCCAGGCCTTACTGTGTAGTCCAGGCTGACAATATCTGTGGTGAACGTATTATCTCTCAACTTGTTCTGGTTTTGTTCAATGGCTGTCGCCTTAGGCTCCAGAAACCAGAAACAATTCCATCTTTCCTTTCCTTCCAGGGAACTCTTAAGGGCTTATGATAACAGATATCATGGGGGAAAGACATTTGTATCAGACTTGCATTTACTGCGATAAATACATGGGAGAAAGGTTTATGCGGAAGGATTTAATTCATGGTGTCAGGGTTTTCAGTCCATGGTCACTTGGTTCCATTGTTTCTGGGCTCCTGGTGAAGCAGGAACATCATGTCAGGGCATGTAGCAGAGCAAAACTGCTCACTTAATGGTGGCTAGAAGCAGACTACTAGACTGGAAGAAGCTAGGGAGAAAGAATAGCCCCTAAGGACACATCCCAGGGACCTACTTCCCCCAGTTAAGGTCCTACCTCCAGAATTTACATTATTTCCCAATAGTGCTATCAAATCATAAATCTGTGTGTTTATCCACTGATTAGGTAAGAGGCTTCAGAATTCTATCACCTCTCTCAGTGATTTGATCTACTAAGTGGGGATCAGGTCTCCAATATGGTGCTTTTTCCAGGGAACACTTTATATCCAAATTCCAACATCACTGAATAGAAAAGTGACCCAGAGTGGGGCTTTGATGGAAAGATATTCAGAAAATACTTTAACCAATTGATTTCATTTTTATTTTCTTATTTGTAACTCATGATTAACGTACAGTTTATTGCTTCACTCCCTTGCCTGTTTTGTTAAATCTTCTATCAAATTATCAGTATTAGATTCCCTGTAGAATATAAAAGATTTTTTTGGTTTTTAAAAATTAAGTCAGGAGTTGGGCATACCTATGTCTACACACACACACACACACACACACACACACACACACACATTTCTATTTTTCTGGCTGGTATAAATCTTGAGCAAAAGATTTAGAAGTCAGGCCAGGGTTGGTGGTACATACCTTTAATCCTAGCACTCAGGAGGCAGAGGCAGGTGGATTTCTATAAGTTTGAGACCGGTCTGGTCTACATAGTGGGTTCCAGGCCAGCCAGGGCTACAAAGTGAGACCCTGTCTCAAAAAACAAAGATCTAGAAGTCAGATGTGGCATATACCTGTAATCTCAGCACTTGGGAGACTGAAGCAGGAAAATTTTGAGTTTGAAGCCAACCTGGAACACATAACAAGACTCTACCTCAGGGGAAAAAAAAAGATTTAGTTAAGAAATCTCTTAGTACTTTATTCATTGATCTCTCCTTATAATTATTTTCAATAGTCCACTTTACAAATATTGCTACAGAGTCATTCTTGAGCATGTGCAGAACTAAGACATCATCAGGATATACACCATAAAGTGGGTTTTAGCTTCATAACAGAGTAACCATTAAAACATTTATTGTATCCGGGCATTGTGTCACATGCCTTTAGTCCCAGCACTCAGGAAGTAGAGGCAGGTGGATCTATGTGAGTTCAAGGCCAGCCTGGTCTACATAATGAGTTCCAGCCTAGCCAGGGCCACATAAGAAGACCCACTCTCAAAACAATTTGTTTTAAAGTTTTCCAACCATGTGTAAAGCTGCAAGAATAACAACCATTATGTGTGCAGTATGATTTTGCCATATAGTAGTTTCACATATGTCCTCCTGCTTTTTGTGTTTTGTACCTAGACTATTGTGGTGGTTTGAAAGAGAATGTCTCCCATAGGCTCCAAGTATTTGAATACTTGGCCCAGTTGGTTGTGCTGTTTGCAGAGTTTTGGAGGGGGACCTTGCTGGAGGAAGCACATCACTGTGGGAGGCTTTGGGAGTTCATAGCCACCTCCCATTTCTAGTATGTCTCTCTTGCTTCTTGTGCCTCCTTGAAGATGTAAACCCTCAGCTTTCTGACCTAGCTGCCTCCTCCCATGCCTTCCTGCCATGATTGACTCTTAGCCCAATAAACTCTTCTTTCTCTAAGTTGCTTTGTTTATGGTGTTTTACCACAGTAATAGAAAAGTAAGTGATACAGAAATTGGTACCAGGGAGTCAGGTGTTGCTGTGAAGAACCTAACCATGTTGGTTTTTGGGAAAATGTGGAATACTTTGGAAGTTTGGACTAGAGAAGCAGTTGAAGGCTGTAAGTAGCACTTAATGGGCCAGGCTAGCAGAGGCTGAGCTTAAGATGGTTCAGAGGGAGATAGAAACAAGGACTTAAACAAAAAATGGGATATTTTGACATAGCATCTACATGGGCTATTGTCTGCCCACAACCTAAGAGATTGCCTGAGGCTAAATTGGACTGTAAGAGACTAACTTCTTTGATTGAGGCAATTTCAAGACAACCTAATGTGGAAATGGTGGTATGGTTATTAATGGTGACTATTATGTAGATCTATAATGAAAAAAGAGCAAGTGGAGCACAAAGAAACATAAAATGTACAGTTTGAAGTGAAAAAGATCTCTAGGAAGATTAATGTGGCAGCTAAGGCATATGTCAGAGGACAGACTCTTTGGTAAGATTAGAGTCATTAAAGAGAGCTTCCAGATTTACACTTAAACAATGCAAAGAGTACCCTCAGGGCAAGACCCCAGCCAGCTAAGCTTTCAACTTGAGAAAGGAAAAGGCCTAGGGAGTTTTCTGCTCCTACACAACCACAATGTACAAAAGCAGCTACAAATGCAGATCAAGCAAGCTAAGGTCCATCCCAAACTGGCAGTGGAACTTGGCAGTGCCATTCATATGGTACTGACTTTAGAGGGATGAAAAATGTAGGAGTGAGGGTGTCATCCATCCTTCCTCTGTAGTTTCAGAGAGCACTGAGGCCAAATAGGGGTAGGCCCTGTGAGAAGAAGACCATGTAAGGCCAAGAGGCCCCAAGAGGCCATTGTGTAAATCTGGCCCCACTGGCAGTGGGGACCCCAAGATAGTTGAGATGCCAGAGCATGAGACATCTCCCAAGGAGAGCTGTATACAGGGAATGGTACCAGCCTAAGAGAGAGATGTATGTTTCAGGCAGCAAAGCTGGAGGATTTGAACCATCTAGTCCTTTGGAACTAAAGCCCCAGACATCTGACATGGAGCTACAGGATTTGCCCTGCTGGTTTTTAGCGTTGCTTTGCTCTGGTATGTCCTCAGTATGCCTCCATTCCTCCCTTTTGGAATGAGAATGTGTATTCTGTGCCATTGTATGCTCGTGAAGTATGTAATTTGCTTTTTTATTTTATAGGGGCCTACTATTAAGAGATTGCCTTGAGTCTCAGAAGAGAGTTTGGACTCTGGACTTTTGACTAGTGTTGAGACTGCTAAAGACTATGGGGACTTTTAAAGTTAGATTCATGCATTTCTTAGGATGATATGGTCGTTAGTCTATGGGGGCCAGGAAATGGAATGTGATGGTTTTAATGAGAATGTCCCCCATAAGCTCCAAGTATTTGACTATTTAACCCCAGTTTGTGGTGGTATTTGTAAAGGTTTAGGGGGTGGGGCCCTGCTGGAGGAAGCTTGTCACTAGGTGGCAGGCCTTGAGAGGTCATAGCCATGTCCCATTTGCAGTATTTCTTTCTCTGCTTCCTGTGCCTGCTTGAAGATGTGAGCCCTCAGCTTTCTGTTCTGGCTGCCTCCGTTGATGCCGCCCACCATGATAGACTCTTATTCCTCTAGAACCATAAACCCAATAAACTCTTCCTTCTTTAAGTTGCCTTGATCATGGTGTTTTATCACAGCAACAGAAAAATAACTAACACAAATATATTAAAGCAAATCTCAGATATCTTGTCATACAGCCTACCTCTAAACATTTCAATATGTAATTCATAGAAAAAAAGTAAGTAGGGACTGGAGAGAGGGCTTGCTGTCTGCAGCACTTGCTGTCAAACCTGACAACCTGAGTTCAATCTTCAGGACCTACATGGTAGAAGGAGAGAATTTACTACTGCAAGTTGTTCTTTGAACTCCACATACATGCCATGACTTGTGCACTATGGCAGAAACACACACACACACACACACACACACACACACACACACACACTAAAAACAAAGAGGTATGTAAATAAGCAGGATGTGGTGGTACAAACCTGTAAGCCTGGTATTTTGCAGGTAGTACCGGGAGGATCAAAGTGAGTTCCAGGCCAACCTGTGCTCTGTCTCAAAACACCAAAACCCAGGGCTGGAGAAATGGTTCAGTGGGTAAGAGCATGTACTGCTCTTCTAGAGGACCTGAGTTCAATTCTCAGCAACCATACTGGGCAGCTCACAACTACCAGTATGGATCTTGGGCATCCAATGCCTCTGGCTTCTAAGAGCACCTATCCTAACATGTATAAAACCCCACCCCATATACACAAAATTTTTAAAAATTTGAAAATATATTTAAAAACAAAAAACAAGCCAAGCGTCTTGGTACACACCTTTAATCCCAACA